AAAAGAATCATCATCATTATTAAAAATTCTAGAACATACATCATTTGTTTTCCATGTCTGAGGAATTATAAAAGTTTCAATTTTGCTTTCTCCTGTATCCAGTAGCAATGAAGAAAATTTTTCATCAATTGAACGTATATCATTTTTTAAATAACAAATATTAAATAAAGGCCAAAAATTGGAAAATTTTATGGTTTCTTGAACAATAGTAATTTTGCTTCCGTTTTTTACTACTGGGAGAATTTGACGAAAGTCTCCACCTAAAATTATTATTTTATTTCCAAAAGGTTTATCACTACTAGATAAATCTTTTAAAGTCCTATCAACGATTTTTAACGCTTTTTTTGGTACCATAGAAGCTTCATTCCAAATAATTACTTTTACATTACGTAATTTTTGTTTATCTGGCTCAAACTGAAAGAATGCACTTTCTATAGTGCTTAAGTCTAAAAGAAGTCTGAAAGTTCTGTACGTGGTCATTCCCTTTGAAAGCAGAATAGAAGCAATACTTGTCCAAGCCATCGTGAGAATTTTTTTTCGATTGATATAAAAAAACAAATTAAACTTTTGTATAGAAAAGTTTCTCCAGATCCACCAGGACCATTGATGAAAAAAATTTTTTTTGAAATTGTATTATTTCTCGACAAATTCGACGATGATCATGACTGAGTAGTGAAAATATTTCATGAAATTTATGTTTACAAAATATTCTTTCATTATTGTCAGTATTGATAAGGTCTGTATCAATAAAGAAAGCACTTCAAGAGTTAAAAGCTTTATTTGGAAAAATGAAAGTAAGAGGAGTATACAATGTGTGGAGGTAATCGTGCGCACACTATACGGTCTCGATGAGCAGTGCCTAGGCGCGCGAATCGACATCAGAGGGGAACAGCAGTCTCACACAGAGGGAGCCTCGGGAGGGCTGGCACACACACACACATACAGCACAGCGTATCGTGACGGGCAGCGCGAACATCAAAAACACCTCAACACTTCCGCCTTTTGTGTTTACACGCGCATTATTTATTGCATTGAATCTCATTCATTCCAATATAATCACGCAGATGCTTGAATCTGTCACGAGGGAGAGGTTTGGTGAAGATGTCCGCTTTTTGTAATTCAGAAGATACATATTTCACCAAAATCTCGTCTGTTTCACCTCTCTCACGGAGAAAATGATAACGAACGTCCATGTGCTTCGTTCGGTTATGAGATTCGGCATTCTTGGCCAATTTTATCGTACTCTGATTATCTACGAATAAAGAAGTTGGCGATGCACATGCACTTTCGAGGTCAACCAGCAGCTGTCTAAGCCATATGGCTTCTTGAGCAGCGGTAGCAGCTGNATTGTTTTATTAAAAATTTTATTATTTCCTGAAAAATTCGACGTTTATCATGACTGAGTTGTGAAAACATTTCATGAAATTTATGTTTACAAAAACTTTCTTTCATCATTGTCAGTATCTATATTTTTTTTTACGTTTTTGTTGGTTCTGGTAAACTGAAATCTTTACAAGACATATTTTCAAAATTAAAATTTTCGTTCTAATGTAGAAGACCTTTATTACGATCATCTTTACAATCTTTGATTAAAGTTTTTTTGTATTTGTTCCAAATAATATTACCAAAAAAATTTTCAGACAGAATAAACCACGCAAAAAATTTTCGTAGTTAAAAAGGCAGCATAACGTTACGTGCTTCTTAAAAAATTATATCGTTTTGATAATCGTGTTCTACTAATCCCATAGAAATAGCTATTATTAGTCAGGGAATGTAGTTATAAAAGTTTAGAAATATCTATTGACACATGCAGGATAGACAGCTCATTTAATAAAGGGAGCCACTAGAAGAAATAATAAATCTCACCAACAAAAAGTCAAGGGCACATTTCTCTGTCTATATAAACTTTACCACTTTTATTTGAAATTAGCCGCTTGTTCTTCATATTTCCTTAAAAGCAGACCAGTAATCATTCCCCAGCGTAGAAAATTTATTCCCGAATATTTACGAAAAATGCCATAGTCTTTCGAATTCTGTAAAATATACTTCAACATATTATTTTTATACTAACAATTAATTTTATCATTTTCTAAGGCTTTAAAAAATATTAATACAAACCTTATTTTGAAAAAATTACA